GTGTCTGTGAACTATGCCTGAGTACTGCAGTCGGGATGAAATCTCAACCCGACTGATAAAGAAAGATGGAAAAGATTCTAGAACTTGATTTCAAAACACAGTGAAAGAATCAGTGCTTGTAAACTGTAATCACTCCCACAAAGTAATATTCTAATAGTCACGCATTACAAGCTGCAGTGCTTACAGAGACACTGGAGGCCTTGATCTTTTACAGATGAAGTGAATGCGTCTATACGTATAAAGATCCAATTATTAATTAATTAAATATATATATTTGCCCTCTTTCCAAGCCACAAATGAGTGAGTGGTACATGTGTAGCTGAAGCCATAACGAGGTTTGCCAAGTTTAACAGTCTATGATCCAAAGTGAAGAATCAAACACTGACCATCACTTCTAAAGCCAGGGGTGCTGACAAGGATGTTAGACCGCAAGAGAAGGCAGCCCCCCCCCCCCAACGTGCACCCCAATCCTGAAATATAACACTGTGTAGACATGCATACAGTGGACTGATATCCTCTATAAGAAATGTGCCGCAGGCATGTAAGTATTTTACTCTTTAAATGTAAGTTTAATGGTAAAAATGTTGAATAGAAGTTTCTCTTAACATTAATGAATAACTTTAATGTGTATTAAACCTTTAATTAGTAAAATCGTTATGTCTAAAGAAATTAAAAATGAAATCAGCAGCAGATTTTTGTACAAAGTATACACACCAAGCAAAGAATATGCAGCTGTATAACTGGAAATGGAAAATAAAACAAGCAAACAAACCACAATGGGTGGGATTTATCTTTCAACATGGATCTCCCTTCTGTTGGGGCCAGTGGCGGATGTAGGATTTTTCCAGATCATAAATGGGCCTTGTCTTAAGCTTCTGACGTGTCACGTCTTTAAATTCATGGTTTAATAGAAATTGAAAGTTGGAGCTACGGGCTGTTTCCCTCTGCTGACAGTGCTAGGCTGAGCTAACCGCATCCTGACTTCAGCTCTGTACATACTGTGCACACGTGTATGATATCACCCTGATAATCCGTCTCAAGATGAGACCCATGAAGTTATGATACATTTTCTAACCCTGTCTTGAAGCCTTATTTATTGATTATTACTTTACCCAAATCCACAATCTTTCTAGGCTTTTCTGGTGCCTGCGGGAACTCATTAAAAAACTTTAAACATAGCTACTACATCAACAATATATTAAATGTATGTTATGAAAGAGTAATAATACATTTAGGGCCACTTTTTTTATCTGACAATGGGTAGCAGTGATGCATTTCATATAAGGAGCAGGAGGCAAAGGGGAAGGATGGGTTTAGGAAACATGAGAGAGAGAGAGAGAAGAAAGAAAAGGGAAGAGAAAATTAGAAGGAACTTTGGTGCCCATTCCCCGGCTGGATCCTTTGATACATTCTGCATTGCATAATGATATGCAAATATGACAAAGTATGAAAGTGGCAATGAGTGGGGAAATCTGGTCTAATGCACTGTTTTCACACTCTTGAAAATGCCTTTCAAACTGATGAATTCTTTTCATTTCGGCTCCTCAGAAATCCTCATTCATGCATCTCTCCCTCTTTCTGCCTGTCTCCATCTCTGACTCTTCTTTTGCTCTCCGTTTGTTCATTTTTCTCTCTCTCCAACTTTTTCCCCTCTCTCCTCCGCCCATCCCCAAGGAACTATAGAAGTCAATACTCCAGAGATTCTATACAGTCCAGAGCTCTTAAGTCAAAGTCACCTCCAAACTAACATGTATTATTAAGAGCCAACTGTGTTAGTGGAAGCCCAAAAGACTCATGGGAAAGGGATTTAGCGGGCTGGAAGTCGTCCTAAAACAACTTCACTTGGGGCATGCTTTCCTACGCTGGCCAACACTAAAGTACATCTCTCTCCACAGCTTCTCCCGATTGCTGGTGTGGCAATTTTGAGGAGCAACGAACCAGAACATATTTTCTCTCCTTTTTTGGTATTGTTTATTTTGCAGTTCCTCGCAGTGAGAAAAGGTAAAAGGGAGAAATGAGTTTGAGGTAAAGGTGAAAACGTGTGTGGTGCAGCAAAATACGGCAAGGCTCAAAAACTACCCCTTTCTCTCAAAACGCATATCGAGAGTTGAGGATGTGTTTAATCCAAAGTATTTACCTGGGACTTGACTGTTGTTGATGCCTAATATTCTGCAGGCTGAAAAATAATTTATGTTCCTATTTAAGTAGCAGATGGGAGACACAATATCACTAAATGCTAAAAGCCTGAAAAAGCCTTAAAAACATAGTAGGGATGGATTGAAATGACAGCATGATCTGTAGGTGTGGCCATCAGTGAGTCTGCTGCTATCTGTCAAGGACACTTCATGTATCAGTTTGGGCTGTTCCCGGTGAGAAATGACAGTGATGAGTGAAATCGTCAATCAAAAGAAGTCCTTGATCTAACTGTCAGACACTGGAAACAAACAACATCCACCTTGTGTAGTCTAACATCATTTGTCAACCGGTGCACATTACATCTGCAGTGTTTCCCTCAAAGCTGATTCAATCTATGACGGTAACTGGAGTGATGTGCACACGCACAAAGCTGGCTCTCAGGAGTGACAGAAAAAAATCTCACGAGAAAGAAAGAACTGCATTGCATGCCACAACTGTCGCTAAAACTAAGGTCTGGCTTATCTGCGTGGATGGTAAAAACATTATGGACAATAGTGCGAGCATGCGGTAACAAGAGCGAGCACATGGTAAATAGCGCTGCAAACAGTCAGAGGTCTCCTATGCTAGTATGAGAAGTGTAGGTAATTTTTTCGTTCATTACAAGATGGCCCATTGGCTATCATCTAGAGATGCATTAGCCTCTGGGGGAAAGGGACAATATTTTCGGGCTTCTGGTTCATTCACTGCAAACGAGTTGAAAGTGTCCACATGCAGAGACATACTTTTTGTAGGTGTTTAAGGTTCAGGTGACACTTTGGCAAATCTCTATTAAAAGCCATCAGTATGTGGTGGCAGATCAATTTAAAAGTCATTAGCCGATGCATCTCGGTCAATGTGTTCCACCTCTTCTGCTCTCCACGTGGACTGATTACCTGCGGGCAACCAAAGCTTGCTCAAACGTGACTGGTCAAACTAAAAAATGGAAACCAGTCTTGTCCCTCACTAACAGATTCTGCATATTCACAATCTGTTTATAGAGATTAAGATGCAGCTAATGTCAGTACAATCCTCGATAAGCAATAGGATCAAGTGTTTTGACACACGTCATATTCCCCTGGTGTCTGTTGCCCTTTGGCCATTTAATACCCAAAAATCCTGACAGTCAGAAAAGCTCCCATATCTGCATATCAGCCATCATTTGCTGTGTAGCAGGAAGTTGTGCACAACACGCTGGCTGATGATGACACTCAGCAGTTTTGGTAAAAGAAAAATCTGCCTGCTCTCATTGGAACTGAAAAACATCATCAGCAGCTACTTTTTATGTTTACTTGACAAGAACCTCTGGCTTTATAATGAATTAAGTTATTAGCACTGCAAAGCCTTATAGGAAGGAGTTCTGAGTTTGTCATTAATTCAACCATGAGTGTGACTTTGACAAAGGAGATCAGTGTTCATTCCTCATTTTAACACGCACTGTAACACTCCACAATATTTCTTGAAGGGAGCTTAACGTTCCTAAGAGTGGGCATATCAGTATATGCTCATTTTGGAAAGGCACTAACAAATGATACTGCACTGCTGAAAGATCTGAAGTCTGTTTTCATCACACTTGTATATTCACCAGGCATGTACATCACCCTCTGACTTAAAATCAATATTTGATAACAGGAGTCTGGATTAAACAGGGTTTTCTTTCCCATCTTTAATGAGATTTGATTTCATGTTCAGATTGTGTTATGCTTTCACTCTAAACCCTGGGCTCACACTAAAAGAAGTCCCTGCTTGTCATCAAACATTGCGCTTGTTGCTTGGATATATATAATATATATATTTTCCATGCTTGCACTCTTTCTGTGCTCACGTAAAACATCTGCAATCGGATATCTCCGAATTCCAGGTTACCAGTTGACAAATTATATTATCTTGTCCTCATTGTGCGTGTGTTACATTTACTTTTTTGAGAGTCCTGTAAAGGTGGTTACTTTAACACACAGTTTGAGCACAAGCAGAATCAATCTAAGCACAGGCAGGATCACTTTAAGTGCAAGCGCAGGGTGTTGAATTACAAAATCTGTGAAATGAATCAATCACGCCCTGAAAGACCACGCTCTTGAATAAAGATAGGGGTAAAAAAAAAACATAAAATATCTGAATCTGAGTACAGTCAAGGACTTACATATTTTTCAGACACTAACCAGGTTGGTAGCTTCACCCAGGTGTCTGATTTCAAGTTGGATTTTGGGAATTAATTTTGGATAAAGTAATAATCTATGTAGCTCAGTGAGCATTTCTGTGATAATCAATAGCTACTAGTTTATTCAGATATACACAGCCAGAGGCCACACTGAAAAGCTAGCTGGAGGTTTGAGGACTGAGATAGTTTAGGTAGTAAAAGGTCAGACACAGTTTACAATAAGTGCGTTTAACCTTTTCTCGCTATGCGCAGGATCGCACTAAACACAAATTGAAGATCTCTTGTGGTTTGTTGCTTTTGTTTTATTTATAATTGGATTCAGGGGTTATTTGTAAATGATCATTCATTCTTGATGCTTTGCCCCAATGTCTTGTAATAGTCTGCTTGTCAGCCAGGAAGTAAGGAGAGGAGAGGCTTACAAAAAACCAGTGTGTTGCCAGCTGTCTTATTTAAAATTAATGGACAGGGGAAAAAGTGAAAAAACAGGAATGTAGACAAGGAAAGACAGAGGCAGGAAGTGGAAGACAAGTGTGTTGATGTTTGTAGCTTGTAGCGAATGGGTTTTATTCATTTCCCAAAAAACCAAACAAAAGGCAGTAATTGAAAGAAACATGTAGGACAATATGTGTAGTAGTGGAAATGTATAAACGAGTAGGGAAAGGACACTTACAGCATGGAGTGGATTGCCCTGATCAATCGGCACTTTGAAGTCAGTCTGGAGCTCATCAAAAGCTGTTATCTGAGAGAGACAGAGAGAGTGTGTTAGAAGGGATGAGCAGATGGACAATATAAAATAAGATAGCATCATTATTGCCAAAAGCGTCCTGGGTTTTTCATGTTATAAGATTGACTTTACTTTTTGTTTAATATATTATATTAAACAAAAGTATAATACCTAAACAACTAGTCCATTTACTAATATAACAAATATGTATATATGACGAGTCTCTCTACTTTTCTCAAAGCTTGTCACGACACACGCACACACAAGAGGTTCTTAGTCCCGCCTCCCAGCATTGCAATTGTCATGGTGGACACTTCACCCAAAACTTAACACATGCCAGAGCTCTTTATTCACTTATTTCCCTGCCGCTGCTGCCCTGAGACATTAAGGTCCACATGTAAAGTCAACATCAAATCACTCCACCTGCTGCACTGTGCTTGACATTAAACTTAATAGTGTATGTAGCCGGAGCTCTCTCGAGGGCTGACTGGGAGACATCCTCCATTTCAAAATCAGCTCTTCCTCGTCATCATCATTAACATGATCTGCACCAGTAGAGATGTTGGATCGTCTGCCCAGAGGGACAACATTTAGATGCAAGAGACATAAAACGAACCCGCTGGATTGGTGTCATTTGATCTGGCCGCCCACTCACTGCCACATTCTGAGATGACTCTCGGTAATAACAACATCACGTAATGATGAACAGTAGAAACGCTACACGGCGTTTCCATATGTGTTGCAAGTGTTGCAATGGAGGCAACTGCACACCGAAGACAGATGTTGTTGCTGGAATAGTTAGGCCTCAGGAGGAAAATGTGTGTATGCGAGGGGAAGAAATATGAGTGTGTCAATCAGTATATGTGCATAAGGGCAACAGCACGATGTACCAACAGCATAAGTACATCAGTGGGAATGTGTGTGTCGTAAGAAAAGTTATTTGTTTGTGTGTGGTGAAAATGTTAACCATGCATTGTGTACAGTATATGAGCAAGAAACAGAGGGTGTGTGCATTCATACATGTGAATGTGTGAGCCCAGTATAGGGCATTAACATCAGAGAGACGGCAGAGGTTCACACCATTCCCGGGTTATTTCCCTGGGCTCGCCCCGCACTAACAGCCATCTCTTTACATGTTATTTCCCAGTGGACCTCAACAGTGATCCTGGCTCATTGCCTCTCTGTGTTACAGTGAGCTAGCTTCCCCCAGGCTGTTCCTCCTGGGCAATGGGAATACGCACATACACGCACACACACACACACACACACACACACTTGCACTCTCTCACACAAGTCATCATGTTGCATAAATCCAGACATATAGGAACACACTCTTCCACAGAGACACATATATTAAAATACTGGAGAAAAACTATACCTTATTAACACACCCTTATATGCACCACATGAGATGAACAGTGAACGTTGTCAGGCTTAAAGTCCAACCTTCGTCTTATTTTGAAATCTTTAAGTTTGTTTCCATTACTTAAATTAACAAATAAAAAGTTCAAGCAAGGAATTATGGGGTTTAGATGATTAGACCTTCACAGGTTGGTGTCCAACAGGTATAACAACTGTCTTAATAACTTCAACTCGCTTGCTTTGGCCTAAAGCAACCTTAAGAGATAATTGAGCTGGCTAAACCACTTATTATTGGAGAAGAGCTGAAAGTAGGCCTACCCAACATGTTGGTATAACCCGCTCATTGCACACCAAAACTGTGTGTGCGTATGGTAAATCGAGGCAATTTGGGATTAAATTGTGAAGTTAAAATAGGAAGCTAGACTGGGATGGTTGGACATAATGGGGCGCAATTTTATGGATTGTATTTATTTTGCATTTCAAATAACCAGGTGGAATATTAGGGCCATGATGTAGAGCAAAACAAGAGATTTCAATTAATATTATGAGAATTAAGTCGTAATTTATAAGAAACCTGTATAAGTATGAGAATAGAATCGGGAATTACGAGAATAAATTCATAGTAAAGAAAAATAATTTATGAGAAATAAATTGTGAATCCAGAAGTTTGAACCAATCTCATTCTGAAACGATTAGACCCCTGTTATTATCAAACAGATCTAACCAAAGAAATATAATCACCTGCCAACAATTATTTCTAAGTCCACAATAAGAAAGACAATTTCAAGTCTGTGTGGTTAATTCCTCTGAATAGACAAAGTTTCTTACACAATCTTTTAAAGGAACTGATACTCATAACTAAGTGGTGAGACCTACAGTATAAACTATAGATCTATTTAAATAGATCTGGCAAAAACACATGAATCCCTGTTATCAACTACTAATTTAAGTAAGTAAAGAGTGAAACACCAATAAGTTTAATGACTTAAGCTAAAAAGACCCAAATTGTAATAAAATTGGGATAAAAGTTTTATCCCATAAAGGAAAATAGTAGTTTCACTCCCCTTGATTTCAGATCCCTCAGATAGTGATATTGTTTCTAAGCTGCAGACCAGACGACCAAAACTCAAATATGTGACATGCTCAGAGGGTGATTCCTGCAGAATTCTTTTTTTTGCAAATCCAGTTCTCTTTTGATGTGGATGTTCACTTTAACTGACTGCTTTGAAGTCATGGTTGGCTCGCAGCAAACCTGGCGCCCCCTGCTCCTCTCTCTTGGCTCACTGGATTCTGTGTGTCAGTGCAGATTGGGGCTGCTAGTGGACTGATGCCTTGCTCTGTGTGTTTTCATGGAGGAGTGAGGGGAGCGGCGAGATGGATGGAGCCTAATTTGTTGTGTTTTAGTCCGCAGAACCAAATTTGTGCTCATTTCCACAGTTGGTGGAAGCTACGACCAAAACAAGAACATTCTTTTACGTCCATGTTGCCTTCAAAGAATTCACATAGAGATAACAACATTAAAAACAACAACAGCAATCAGCAGAACCTCCACTCTGATGTGAAAGACTACATGGTCTGTTTAAATTATTCAACGTTTTGCCTTAAATATTTATCAGGATTTTAAATCCACTCGGCGTGGGTTAATTTTCCGCACAACCACTTCTCACCAACCTCTGATGCACACATTACAAACCAATGAAGCAAAAATCCAAACCATAAGTGTTTTATGCATGCAGCCAGTGAGAACTGAACAGCGCTGAACTTCACATATAATATTTGTATTAACCACCAGACACGATGCACAGGTTAGAACACAGGCTGCCAAATCTCCCCATGTGGAGCATACAATTCTACCTTACCTCAAGCAGACAGTAAAATGCAGAGGCTTGCTGACAAAAAGAGAAAGAGATCTGGTGAAAGTAAGCCTGTGTTGGTTTTGTAGTGTTAAATTCAATTTGTTAGTGATGGCATGGTCAATTGTGAAATGTCAGGCGAGCAAAGAGGAATTTAAAAAGGGCGCTTGGAAATGCTGCTGGCCCCGCTTTAGTTAGAAAACTCCGAAATTGTGTTTTAGTCTGGATGTGCAGAAATGAAGATATTTGGAAACAATGATGTAGACATGCATTGGATTCTGCTTACATGCATAGGCGACAAGAAATTTATTCTAGCAATTTGTGACAGTGATACGCCTTCCTGTTTACAACTCCAAACCTCAAACAATAAATAATATTGATAATCAATAAATCAGTAAAACAGCACTAGATGTACTTCGCCTCTCAGTCCCTGCCTTTTCAGATCTCATTATCTCTTCTAGGACTTTATGCTAAACTTCAAAATATCCCTCTACTGTAGACTCAGAGGCCACTGGTTGGTCATGTGTGGGAGCTTTTTTTTTTTTAATCCCCAACATGTCAGCGTTACACTGTATCTTGGCTGAACACCTTGGCAGGGTGAGACAGCTGAATATTTCCTGTATAGATATGATTGGCACAGTTAACTCCTCCTTTCAATGTGACAAGATCAAATGAAATAAAGCTCTTTCTTCCCCCTCTTAAATCAGAGTTCTGCTTTATTCAGCTATCAGGTCGTGCAGCGAGGCACCAAAGGCATATGATAAGCATGCAGCTACAGTGACTAGGTTAATAGATCACCTGAGAATATTCAACAGAGGCACTCAGAGAATCATTGCCCACATTAGGTCCCCTCATCTTTATGGAGCATTTTAGCATCTTCTATAGTCTATATTCAACTCTATAATGTAATATCATGTCAGTGTTTCAAGCTTGTTGTACAGCTCCCTGCTTGGCCTCATGGCCTTTGGCCTCTGCTCATGTTGCGGGCTGAGCTGTCACATAAGGTCAAACACCATGCACCAATAAGAGGCTGCATGAAAAAGGTTAACACAAGCGTTTTAATGACATTAACAAAGCTTCAATTCTATTTGATTCAGTTCAGTTAGCAACAAATCACAACATACAGTGCATTATCTCAAAGTACTTTACAGGACAAAATTATAACGAAACCGAACGGTAACACCCATATTTGCTATTTAATGTCAAAATGGCCGCTGTGGAAAAGGTCTAGATGTGGTGCGACAGAACTGAAAGAAAAGTTGGGGTCATTTTATTCAAACACAGCCTGCATATGCCCCCGTGGTGCAGTAACCAACCAACACATAAACCATCTGTTGTACCACACATGAGCAGAAAATCAAAGGGATTTTGAGCAGAAAATCAGTTGTTAAAACTCTGTCCCACACACATCTCCATCCAAAAACTGTAAAGTGACTCATTTAGATCACATCAAATAATGTTGTTACCCAACAATAACATGAGGACATGGATGCATTATTTGTAATGTATGAAAACTTCCCACCATAACAGACTTGCAAGAGTTGCAAACTAACCAGTTACTGCCATTACAGTATTTTGAAGGTGAAAATGGATGGATTTAGTTTCTTTCTCACACAGAGGACAATATGCACAGCTTTTTGTATTGTCTTTCTTCCTGATGCCTGATACACATGATCTGTTCAATGTGGCAAATCACAATCCACTCCAATTTCCATGTCTAAAGGTATCTAATTTATACATGGCTGATCATCTTTGAACTATATAGTAAAGCAGTGCTGAGGTTTACACGCAAGGATCTAA